ATGGCTTGACAAGCGGTGCGTCGGTGCACGCCCGGGATCCGAACCAGCGAACCCCGGGCCGCTGCAGCGAAGCGTGCGCACTTAACGACTTGCGCCACCGGGCCGGCCCTAAAAGAATGTATTTTAAAATGCTTTTCCAATATTAGAAAACAAACTTTGGATTCTACTTCCAATTATACCAAATAACTTTCAATATACTGACCTCTGAATTTCAATTTGCAAAATTTACAAGTACTACCTTGCAGAAAGAACAAATATAATGATTAAGGACAAGAATACATGCTTCACTGCAAGGCACCATTTAAATACCAACATCTACAGAAGTGTCCTTCTGACAATCTATTACAAAAAATTAAAAAGCAAACTACATTTATAAAATAAATAGTTGGGTAAGTATTTACCTTATCAAAAAGTATGTCACCTAACAATGGGCTTCCTTATCAGAATAGCATTCTGAACTGGTTAGAAATTAGGAGTGTCTAATCCAAATGCTCACTGTATAGACGGGGCACCTGAGGACCAAAAGGTCATTGCCCCATTAAAATGTGGTTTTATTCATAAACAATTTAGATATATGTATGTAGAAAGGCAACTGATGAATAAAACAAGGAAGAATATTTAAAGTTCAGTGATAATCTACCATTTGAAATAATTTCAAAAAGAAATCACACGACATAAAGTCTTTGGCAAACATATACCAAGGTTCCTGCCTAAGATGACTCTTAAAAAGCCATATGTTAGCACTGGTATGATCCCAAGTCTTTTTATTCAAGGAAGCTGCTTTCTAGTACATATGTTAAAGACAGCTGGTTCTCTTATATCTAGTTATGCTAATCAAACGGCTTAGCCATATAGTTTCAAAATACAAACATATCTTAATGATATAAGATTTCACTTAAATGCAATTTTCTCTTAGGTTTTTAAATAATAGGTTATTACCTAAATAATTTGAGACTAAATATTTGTTCACTTGGACTGGTTTTTTACACTCTGATAGATGCTTGCTTGCTCTGGATAACTCCCGAAAGGCTGTCAAGCAGTTGTATATGGAAATGTCAGTAACATGGGTTGCAAGAGTTCCAGAAGCAATTCAGATGGTGGAAGGGGCCGCCATCCAAACCCAGCAGAGTCACTCTTCACAATGCAAAGTGATTACCAATCATTCAGGAAACCAAATGGTTTCTACAATAGTAATTCTTCCTTTTGTCCAGAAATACAGTATACTAAGAAACAAAGAGGAAGAAAGATAACTAGTTTGGAAGAAGGCGAGGTATGGACAAGGATACCATTAAAGTAACCTTTCCAAAGCCAGCAGTCTACTCTTTCCTCTTGCTCTAAGAAATAAGCCTGACAATACTACAAAAAGATTTTTTTCAATCAGAGAAATTATATGTGGGAAACCGGCATTTAATTCATACTAAAAAGTGGCTTCAGAGTTGATCTATTAGTTTACAATTAAGGGAAAGAGTTCCAAGAAGTTTGGCTATTTCTTACACAAATAACCCAACAAGATCATATTCCTTACCCTGACAACTTGCCGAGTACTTGTGATGAAGGCTTTTCTTATACTCAACTCGGTTGCATCGAGATTGAATTTTCTAGGATTTGCTTCAACTATGCGTGGGTCAAAAAGTCAAGGGAAAGCAATTTCATCATCAAAAGCCTAACAAACAACATCATGCTAAACCAGAGAACCTCTCACAGACAAGCAATAAAATCCGGCCCCAAGTTTCTGAAAACGTAGTCAACTTGACTCAAATCATTCTCAAACTTTCTCTACCCACAGCTATACGAGGATCCTTACGCCCCACGGTGGAGATGACCTGCCAGGTTAAGAAACAGCCCTTGCTAACTGACTCACTACAAATCCGTGGCTGTCTGGCTACAGCTGAGCTGGGCTCTTCCAGACATCTGCTGGCACGTTGGATCTATTCTTTTTTGACTCTAGACCACCTCTGACAGCTTTTGCAAGCCTTTCTCATTTGCCATTCCAAACCATTCCACTTATGTCAAGAAACTAACCCTGCTTCTTAATCTAGAGGCTTCTTCAGTGAAGCCTCCCCTGATCTCCTCACGCCCAGCCTGGTCCTGTTGCCCCATGTCAGACACTCGCGTAGCTCTCTGTACTTTTCTCTGAGTCTTCAAGCACACATTTGTGCTATTATTTGATTAATGTCTGTTCCCCTGCCCCTTCGGGCCCCTCCCTAGCCCCCCCATCATAAATTCCATGAGGGTTGGTAGACTGTTTTGCTTATCGATCCAATCTCAGTAACCAGAAAACGTCCAGCATGTAGTACACTCAATAACTATTTGGTGAATGAATGATGAATATCTGTTAAAACTTTTGCCCTCTTTATCTCATAATTTCTGTCTCCCCCCATTTTTTTCTTCTCCCTCCTACCTCAAGGGGAGAGGTATCTCCCTGTAACTGGGCTTTTGATTCTACCTCCTCACATATTTTGTTCCACTAATTTTAGAATTTGAAAAGTACCTGGGGTCATCATGATTAATAGAAATTACGGACACTACACATCAACTGCATATGAACCTGTGCTGACTATGGAGTGACCCTGACAAAAGCTACTTTCCTTGATGTTTACCACACTTCGAAAAAAACAAAACAGAACTCAGAACATGCAAATGGCCTATCTTCAATCTAAAGTTTTGATTAAATGAGATTTTTCCAGTCGAAAACAAGGCCACATCATTCAAGTTTTACAGTTCTCTGGTTTGTCAGTCAGATCAGTGAACTTATTTAACATCAATAGCAAGACTTAGCATAACAGATCTGCTTTTCCTAAATGCAGTATCTTGGTACAAGATGCCCCTCCAATGGACAATGGCATCATAATATTACTTCCTCAACAGGAAAAAGACTATCTACCAAAGGATTTTCTTTTTTTTGTGTGTGAGGAAGACCAGCCCTGAGCTAACATCCACGCCAATCCTCCTCTTTTTGCTGAGGAAGACTGGCCCTGGGCTAACGTCTGTGCCCATCTTCCTCCACTTTATGTGGGACACTGCCACAGCATGGTCTGGCCTGACAAGCGATGCATCGGTGCGCGCCCAGGACCCGAACCTGGGCCGCCAGCAGCAGAGTGCGCACACTTAACCAATACGCCACGGGGCCGGTCCCCAAAGGATTTTCTTTTGATCTCTAATTACCAATGCATAACACTGGGCTGTATATACCTCTAGGTAATAATGACTGCTAACACTTTTACAGAAGCTCACTGTGTGTCAGCCACCATACTAAGCTCCTTACCTGTTAAACTTTCAGCAACCCTATGTGCTAGATACTGTTGTTGTCTTAACTTTCTACTGAAAAGGAAACTGACACACAGAGCAATGTGCCCAAAGTCACGCAGTCTAACTGGTGGACCCAGGACTTGAACAAGCAGTCTGACTCCAGGGTCCGAGCTCATAACCATTGCATTATGCTGCCTCTAAATTCAGGATTTGCCATGCACTGTGGAAGACTTTGGCTGCTCTACCTTAGCTTACTGGGCAATTATTTTAAGTGTCTCGTGGTACAAATAAGAGCAACACTGATCAATTATAAAAAGAAATGCCTAATCTATGTACTTGAGACAGCTGAATAAAAACCTGTTCATCTGTCTGTTTGCCCCAAATGGCACAGACCCCACAGAAAAGGATATTGATGGTTTCATCAAGGTCCTCTAGATCCCACTCTATGCTGCGGAGGTTGTTTCTCAGCTCGTTGGTGGTCCAGTCGATTTCTTCCCTCGTGGCCGTGGAGGGGTCCTGGAGGAGCTCTGTCCATCTCTGAAACAACCCCTGGGCAGTGTTGACTGCTTTCTGTACCTCCCTGGCATCAAGGTGAAGGGAAAGGAGAGAAATCAGACACCACATTCCATGAACAAGTTACCACATGACTTAAGTTAACACTTATGATCATACCCCACCCTCAGCAACCACCATTCCCAAAAGTGTTTTTAAGTCTTTATAGAAGGCTCTTCATGGACAAATATCAAAGTTCAAAACTTTAAAATAAGTCTGAGTATTATGTTCTCAGCTGATTTCAGAATAAAATAGCCATTATTTAAGCAGCTATAATATCAAGTTTGTTTGAGAAGGACAAAATTTGATTTTTCTCTGAAGAGACTATACTTAAAAGTAGTATAAGAAGAAATCCTACAAATTAACTAAAGGGTCATTAACATGCCCACATGCTGCCATGTGGTGTGACAGTAATTTATATTCAGATGAAAAAGTCCCAATACAGCTTTTCTTTGGGGCAGGGCCGGGGGGGATGCGGTATAAAAAAAAAGTGGAGGCAGGGTCACTCTTACACCGCCAGTGTTTTAGAGGTTATTTTAATCTGAGACATTTTTAAACCCAAAATCTCATTAGAAGATTTCCAAATAGTATTAGCTTTAACTATATCTACTTTCCTGGATTAAGCAATGCTGTAGAGCTGATTAGTGCGTTGTTTAGAGAGTGAGACCAGGCAACTAAGTGCTATGATCTAGTACGCTTTTAGATTAGATATAGTCACAAGGTTTTAAAAACTTTTCTCCCCACCGCTGGGCCAATACTCATCATCTAAATGTTATAATCCAACATTACTGCATATGAAAGCCAAAAAAGAGTCACTTGATAATCACATGGTCTCTCGTGTACAAAACAATAACCTTACTGCTCCCAAACTAAGAGACGTTTTGATCCTTCTACGATTTCTTAATCAGTTCCTCTGGGCATTCAATCGTGTTTACTGTTTGTAGCTTTAACACAGAATTTGCACGCATCCTCTTCCTTCTGACATTTCAAGTACCAGAAGAGAAAGCACTAATAAAAACAAAGAAAAGCGCCTCACTTTCCGTCTGTGGAATATCGATGAGAGCTATAAGGTTGAGTATTAAACAGAGAAGTTGCAATTGGGCCCAGGTTGAATAAATCATTGAGCTTTATGGCCAACAATGACTCTACCAAGGGAGGTTCATACTCAATTTATGGATTAGGCAAGTGCTCTCATCGTTGCTCTCACGTCAGCCTTTAGACTTTCAGTGCTAATGAGAAACTATTTGAGATAAACAGGGGAAGGGATGTAAATCCACTATCTTTACTCTTTATCGAGGTTTTTGGCTTATTTGGTGGAGAAAGAGGTACACATCTTCCCATAATATAAGGTACTTGGTTTATTTGTAAGTGTTGAATATGATCCACGGTAATGGAAGACAGTTAAAGAGGTATCTATAATGATATCTCATTTTAAAGAATATAAAATTTATCAATTCTGTAAAGTAAATATAAATTCTTTTTTGAGAACTAGAAGCCTCAGGCTAGGGCATACGATGTTCTCCACCGCCAGTACATGAACTATGATACTGGAATTAAATTTTCTTAAGTAGCGATTCATATACTTCTTTGGTCTCAGGACTCCTTTGCATTCTTCAAAATTACCTAAGATTCCAAAGAATTTAGATTGATGTGGGCTATAACTATTTACCATACTAGAAATTCAAACAGACATTTTAAAGAAATTTACCAATTTAAAAATTACAATGAATTTACCATATGCTAACACGTTTTTTGTAAAATAATAACTTCTAAAATAAAAACATTTAGTGAAGAGTGGCACTGTTGAACATTTTTATTTTTGAAAATCTCTTTAATATCCGGTTTAACAGAAGACAGTTGCATTCTCATATCTGCTTCTACATTCAGTCTGTTGACATATATTTTGGTTGAGTATAAGATGAAAATCCAGCCTCATATAGATATATAGTTGAAAAAGGGAGGAGATTTTGTTTTTTTATTGTGAGGAGATCAGCCCTGTGCTAACATCTGCCAATCCTCCTCTTTTTGCTGAGGAAGACTGGCCCTGAGCTAACATCCGTGCCCATCTTCCTCCACTTTACATGGGATGCCGCCACAGCATGGCTCTACAACCAGTGCATCGGTGCACGCCCAGGATCCGAACCGGAGAACCCCGGGCCGCTGCAGCGGAGCACAGGCACTTAACCACTTGCGTCACCGGGCCGGCCCCAAGGGAGGAGAATTTTAATCGTTTTTTCAGATAATTGTGGATAATCTTTTTTTGACACTAAACCAAAACAAGCGGCAGTTTCTTAGCGGTTAGTTGCAATGCAGAACCTGAAGCTGTATCAAAGCTTTGCGAACTCAGACGTGACCAATCCATTGCTCTACTTTGTATTCTGAATGGATTTTTATCCATGTATGATTTTATAACATCACATACTGGTCATTTGGAAAATATTAGTTTACTGAGTATCACAGATCTTCCAAATGCTGACTCCTTTCATTATACAATATCCAAAATCATATAATAATTTCACCACCAATCTCAATGGAAAAACTTAAGTATTGAGAATCTCCAAAATCATAGTAGTTGATATAAGCTTTCCAAAATTCTATTTTAAAAAAAAGTTTCTAATTTTATCATCAGCAAAAATATTGTCAGTTGTTTTCCATGAAGTGACAGGTTCACCTCATTCATTTTTAAGAAAATATCTCAAGGCCGGCCCCATGGCTTAGCGGTTAAGTGTGCGCACTCCGCTGCTGGCGGCCCGGGTTCGGATCCCGAGCGCGCACCGATGCACCGCTTCTCCGGCCATGCTGAGGCTGCGTCCCACATACAGCAACTAGAAGGATGTGCAGCTATGACATACAACTATCTACTGGGGCTTTGGGGAAGAAAAAAAAAAAAAAGGAGGAGGATTGACAATAGATGTTAGCTCAGAGCCGGTCTTCCTCAGCAAAAAAGAGGAGGATTAGCCTGGATGTTAGCTCAGGGCTGATCTTCCTCACCAAAAAAAAAAAAAAAAAAAAAAATCTCAAGTATTTTTTAGATAATTTTGAGATTTGAGAACATATGCAAGTCTCGATAACCAGTGTGTCAGTCATTCTTTCAAGTAAAGATGAGATCCTGTGCAGGGAAAAAAAGAGCTGTTTCAGCTGGCAACTCAATCACAGAAGTGCTTTTCCTGGAGACAACCACGCTATTTCACAAAATAGCAAACGTGCTTTATGCACACTCTCATTTTGTCACCTAGAATATTAAAATGTGTACTAAGGCAGAGAGAAAACATTTGTGAATCACATATCTGATTAATGACTTATGTCTAGAATATACTAAAAAACTCTCAAAACTTAACAAGAAAACAAATTCAACTTATAAATGGGCAAAAGATTTGAACAGTCACTTGACCAAAGAAGACACAGAGATGACAACTAAGCACATGAAAAAGATGCCCAATATCATTAGTCATTAGGAAAAAGCAAATGAAATCCACAATCAGATACCACTACGTACTTAGAACCGCTTAAAAAAGGAAACTGACAACGCCAAGTGCTGACCAGGTGGTGGAATAACTGGAACTCAGATGCTTTACTGGTGGGAAGGCAAAATGGTACAGCCACTTTGGAAAACAGTGTGCCTGTTTCTTAAAATTAAATGTACACTTACCACATGACCCAACAATTCCACTCCTAGGCGACACCAAAACTTATGTTCATACAACAACTTGCAAATTCTTATAGCAGCTTTAGTCATAATAGTCCAAAATTGAAAACACTCCAGTGTCCTTCAACTAATGAATGGACAAACTGTGGTACATCTACACAATGGAATACCACTCAGCCATAAGAAGGAACAAACTACTGATACATGCAACAATATGGACAAATCTCAAATGCATTATGCTAAGTGAAAGAAGCCAGACTTAGAAGTCCACATACTGTATGACTCCATTTATAGAACTCTATTTATTCTGGAGAAGGCAGAACTATAGTGACAGAAAACAAATCAGTAATTACCAGGTGCTGGGCATGGGGGCAGGGACAAGAAGGGACACAGAGAAACTTTTAGGGAAGATGGATCTGTCCTCTATCTTATTTGTGGAGGTGGTGGTTACATGACTACATGCATTTGTCAAATTTCACAAAACCATACACTAAAAAGGGTAAATTTTACTGTAGGTAAATTACAACTTTTAAAAAAATGAAGAAAAGTGTATTCGAGGATCAAGATTTGATAAAATTAATAATTTTTACTGTTTCATGAAGAACATTCTTAAGGGAATACAAGTCTTTTTTTCACTGTGAAGGAGGAATACAAGGACGGTTTGGTGCCACTGCCTCGATTTAGGCTACGGCACCAGCAGTTTTACCTGCCACAGCTTAGCACCATCAGTGTAAATATCAACACAATGAAAAAAGCAAATAACATCTGCGTATTATAAAAAGCGTTTTAAGCTGAGGGACTCTTTTGTGAAAGGATCTTGAGAACTTCTTGGGATCCAAGCATCACATTTTTAGAACCACAGCTCTTAAGACATTGGTTCTCAGATCTGACAGGGAGGAGGGGGGCACATGGGTGGATTCGATTCTAGTAGCACAGAGGGAAACCAAGGAGTCCTTAAGCATGCAAGAACTTCAGCGCGTTTCTGAAGAAGAAATGAAAGAAATGGCAGGAATTAGAAAAATGTTACAAAGCCATCCCAGAATAACATTCAACACCCCACAGGCCTGGCCAGTGAAGTGGCTTATTCCACTCTCAATCTCTTGTTTTTAAAAGCAGTGTCATTTTTCGTTTTCATTTAATAGTATAGGCATAAAGAAGGCAAAGTAGTCATTATTTTACGTTTCTAAGACAGGTGTTTTAAGGGATCACAAAGGTGGGAACTGTCAGCAATGGTTCAGATCTTGCAAGAAAAGCAAGAACCTGCAGTGTATCAAGTAATCATATTTTCAGAGTAGCTAAAGCCGCCCTTCAAAGTTTAAAACATCTCCCAACTTTTCTTCTTCCTGTATCATTTCAGCTTAGCACTAACCTGAAAAAGAATG